TGGGCTGGGAAGGTGACTCAGTAGTAGAGTGCTTGCCTTGCATGCATGAGGCCCTGGGTTGGATTCCTCAGCACCACATAAGCAAAAAGAAAAAAAAGCCGGAAGTGGCACTGTGGCTCAAGTGGTAGGGTGTTGGCCTTGAGCTGAAGAGCTGAGGGACAGCGTCCAGGCCCAGAGTTCAGGCCCCATGACTGGACCCCCCAAAAAAATGGGGTTCAAAAATAAATTGGACTTAAGGAAAAATATAAATTTTGTACACCTTGTGATACTATTAACAGAATAAAATTTTTCTCCATGTAAAGAGAGAAAATACTTGAAATTGATGTATTTGATAAGGGATTGATACCGAGAATCGAAAACTCCTAAAATTCAACAATAAACCAACTCAAAACACAATGACTTGTATGAAAGTAGAAATTAAAACATAGAAGATGTTCAACATTAATCATTAAGGAAATGCAAATTAAAATTACAATGAGCCACTACTGCCTACCTAGTAGAAAGGTTACTGCAAGAATTCAGCCAGTCACTGGCTTCTTGGAGACTGAGATCAGGAGGATCATGATTCAAGGGGAGCTTAGGCAAAAAGTTCATCAAACCCTTTTCAACCAACATATAGGTATAGTGGCATGTGCCTTTTATTCCAAGTCATGTAAGAGGCTAAGATCAGGAAGATTGTGATTCTAGGCTAATCTGGGCAGTAAAGTTCTCAAGAGTCCAACTCAATGAAAAAAAGCTTGATGTAGTGGTGTGCACCTGTGCACCCATGCAGCATAAAATAGAAGAATAGTGGTTGGGCTATGTTTCCAGATCTTATCTCGAAAATAACCAACACATAATAGGTGGAGATGTGGCTTTGCAGTAGAGCATCTACCTAGCAAATAGAAGACTCTGAATTCAAACCCTAGTACCATAAAAAACAAGAAATTTTAAAAAAGACAAAAAACAGAAATCCAGCTGGGTGTGGTGGTACCCATTTCTAATCCCAGTTACTCAGAAGGCAGAGGGCAGAGGATGGCTGTTTGAGGCCATCTTGGGTAAAGCTAATGAGACCCTATCTCAAAAACAAAATTAAAAAAAGGGATGGGAGCAGGGATCAAACAAGACAGGCCTTAACTAGTAATCACAAGGCTAAGGGTTCAAACCCTAGCACTATACAATAAATAAGTATATAGTCCAGAAAACAACCAGTGTTGGTGAGAACGCAAAAAATTTTGATCTCTTATACTGCTGGTAACAATGCAAAATGGTATAGCCATTCCAGGCAATACCTCAAAAACATTAAATATAGGACTACTCTATGAAAAGGTTATTCTACTTCTGTGTCTATACCCAAAAGAAATGAAAGTGAAATCTCAAGGAGACATTTGTAGAAGCATGCTCACAGCATTATTCACAATAGCAAAAACACAGAAGCAATTCAAATGTCCACAGAAAATGAGTAGACAGTGGAGCCTTTGTATCTGTGAACTCTACTTCCTTGGATTCAACCAACCATAAATGGAAAGTATTGGAAAAAGAATTACATCTGGGGATTGGGAAGGTGGCTCAGCAGTAGAGTGCTTGCCTCGCATGCATGAGGCCCTGGGTTTGATTCCTCAACACCACATAAACAGTAAAAAAAGGCCGGAAGTGGCGCTGTGGCTCAAGTGGTGTCCAGCTAAAGAGCTCAGAGACAGCACCCAGGCCTAGAGTTCAAGCCCCACTACTGACGTCCCCCCCAAAAAAATTACATCTGTAGTGAACACACATATGTTTTCCTTGATATTTGCCCTTACACAATATAGAATGATTTGTATAGCACTGCATTACGTTAAGTATTATAAAGTAATCCTGAGAAAATTTAAAGTATATGAGAGGACATACATAGAATATATGAGACTTGAATAACTAATGATTTTGGAATCTGTGGGTGTCCTGGAGCCAGTCTGCCTCAGACACTGAGTGGTAAATGCATATATATACAATGAAATATTATCTAGCTTTAAAAAGTAATTTTGATATATGCTACAAAATGGATGAACTTTGAGGACATGCTAAATGAAATAAGCTAAGTACAAAGGGACAACTACTAGATTATTCCAATTATGAGTTATTTAGAGTAGTCCAAAATCATAGAGACAAAAGAATGGTGGCTGTGAGGGGCTGATGTAGAGTTTTTGTTTTGTGAATATAGTTTCACTAGATAAAAGGAGTTATGGGTGATGGTGATAGTTATACAGCATTATGAGTGTATTAAATACCATTGGATTGCACACTTAGAATGATTTAGACAGTACATTTTATGTTGTATGCATTTTACCAATATTTTTAAAAGAAAAGCCTATGTCAGGTACTGGAAATTTTCCCATTTACTCTTCACAATTAATCTATGAATTAGGTTAAAACTATCATTTTTAAAAAAAGATAAGGGCATGTAAATTATGAGCAAGTAAGTGCCTTCCACTTTAGTTCCAAGATGACTCAAGGTCATAGAGCTTCTCAATTCAGAAGCCAGGATCTGAGTTTAAGCAGCTTAGCTCCAGGAAAAACAAAATAAGGCTTCCCTTCTATTCAGGAGCATACATTATTTTAGGAATAGATGAAACCATAATAAAAGAGATTAAAACCTTCAGTCCATAATGACAGATACAAAATACCTTTGAAAATACTACAGAGATAAACACTCATCTTGTAATAGATATCTATCTATTAGATCCTTCCTGTTCCCATGGCAAAGGACCTACACTCCTGATACTGATCCTTTTTTTGGGGGGGGGCAGTCATAGGCCTGAACTCTGGGCCTGGGTGCTGTCCCTCAGCTCTTCAGCTCAAGGCTAGCGCTCTACCACTTGAGCCACAGCGCCCGGCTTTTTTTCCCTTATGTGGTGTTGAGGAATCAAACCCAGGGGCTCATGCATGCAAGGCAAGCGTTCTACCACTGAGCCACCTTCCCAGCCCCCTTACAGAACTCTTAAGAGAAAGGAATAGTGTACAAAGAGGAACTTAGGAATAACATTTCACCTCACCTTTCCTCTACCTAAACTCAAATATTAACTGAGGGAGTATTTGAAAGATTTATATTTGCATATTTGAGGATACCTGTAATCAGAAATAGCTTACAAAAGGATTCTGCCAAGGAATGTAGCACATGTAGTTTAGGTTTAAACTTTTTCAGGAACTTTATCGAATACTACCAGTCCTTTTCATCATGTTCCAGCAAGCTATATGAGTATTACCTCATTATGTGAAATGGCATGATTAAAATTAAACTGGGAAAGTATAAGAGAAGTAAAATAAGATAAACTGTTTTTAAGATGGAGACAATCTTTTGGGCTTTATGGTAAAGGTTTGACTTCCTCTCTATTTGTATTGCATAGGGTAAACAAAGTATGGTTAATGTTTGATTAAGGAGATTAAATAAATACTTGAGAGCCTTTGGTGTTTGATACCTAACAGATTAATATTAGCTGTCATTATTAATTTGTTAGGAGTGGTGCCTTATTTTGCACAGTGAAGTCAGTAATATGGGAATAAAACTATCTAGCTTCTTGCTTTGTAGCCAAGGCTGGTCTCGACCTTGCAATCCTCTAGCCTCAGCTTCCCCAGTGGTGGGGCTACAGATGCACCATCCGGCCTCACACAAGGCACCAGGTTCTGGATAACGTTTCACGTGCACTAAGTTCTACTCTCACAAACGGTCAATTGTGTCATTGAGAAGCCCACGGATGTTAAGTATGCAGACTTGGGACTAAGCACTCATAGGACACGGTGATTATTGTGCCCATGAGTTAATGAGCTTTAGGAATCCACGAAATTGTTTTAAGTTTCTTTATAAGGAGACTATAATGCTGGTGAATATGTAGTAATGAAATCAGCCTGGATTTACAAGTAGATTGAATTATACAAAGCTAGGCTGTCTCCGCAAAACACAACAACATCCCACATACCCCACACCTGTTCCTTTAGAGACACAGGTCTCACCTCGGGCTTTCCCCGCCTCAGCTGCCAACAGTGAAGGGCAAAGTGTTGTTTTGTTTTTTACAAAAGCTAAAGAACAATTTAAACGATCTGATTACTATAGGATAGACCTTCCCAAGTTGGCACTGTGCCTCTCCCAAAGCCCCGGCGTGTCCTGTCCACCTCGGATCCCACCAAGGTCACTTGGGAACGGCTCCCCCGTGTCCCCCGCCCGCGTGGCCTGCGCTCTCTCCCGAGGGTAGCACCCACCGACAGTCTTCGGAAGGCCGCGGGTGAGAAAGCCTCTGAATCCGAGTCCCGTACCGAGTCGGCCGCCAGACAGAGCTGTCAGCGCAGTGACCGAAGCCCGCTGCAGTAAACTCATGGCCGCCATGGCTACGTCCGGCAAAGGGGAAGATGCGAGAGTAACGGGAGCCGGGAGGGCCAATTTACCAATGACGGCAAAGGTGAGATTCGGCCATGTTCAGTTATGGCAAGGTCCTGTTCCGGTTTGCTTCATTCAGTCAGCGTGAGGCGACCGAAGTGACGTCATTTACAGCGGACGAAGTCCTCCCCCCCCCCCCCGGCCTTTATTAAAAAAATGGCTGGAGGCGGCTTGGGTGTATTTTGTAGAAGACTCTCCGCAGTCCTGAAGGTTTCTGGATCGTTAATTACTTCTAAGGCCCCCGCTAGCACAGGGTAAGTGGTGTGAAGAGCAGGTCTCCCCACCTCCTCCACTGGGGATGTTTGTGGCTCTGGCGAAAACAGCTTAGAAAAGGAATTTACCCCCCTGATGGCCAGGCCCGACCTCAGAGAACTTCACCGCTAACACAGGCTTCTGCCTCAATCATGTTGCTGCCTACTGTGGACTAGGCACTCATAAGGCTTTCTTTACCCTGGATTTATTGAATTACAGCTGAAAATACAGAAGCCACTCTTACGGTGTATGAGTTTAAGAACTTTATCCTATGAACTGAACTGTGCTTAGGTTTGATTGGATGAAAAAAAGAGAGTAGGGAGGGTCGTCGCAGAACCTAACAGAATGTGCTGTTCATTATTTCCAGGTGAAACACATTTGTCTTCTGGATAACCAATCCTTTTTTGCTTTAGGTAAATATGATTTAGCACATTGCTGCCGAGTGCACGTTACTGAGCATCTATTATGTGCTACTGTATTATTATTTGCACTAACCTTACACATATTCAGTTGCTTTTAATTTTTGCAGTGGTTGCAATTTGAACAGGGTAACAAACGTGAATCAATTATCTCTTCATCCTTTTCTGAAAACAATTCTAGCATTAAGTAAATACCTATTTACTTGCAAACACGTTGGTCAAATGTGTATCGCATTTTGCAGCAGTAACTAAAAACTACCATCAACTCAAAAATGGCAGATTTTCATCCGTTCCTTTTAACCATTCCTATAGACACAGATGTATTTTAAAATAGGATCATATACATATATATATACATATTTTGTTTACTACTGTTTTCCCCAATTTTATTTTGTTTAAAATTTTTTCAGCAAAATAGAAAAATTGTTATAGTACAGTTACCACAGTCTGTACTTTTATTAACCAATCATTACTTTATTTTTTATATATCTATATACTTTTGTTCTGAACTGTTTGAGGCTTATATTTCCAACATCATGACATACATCTTCTAAGAGCAAGGACCTTGCTTTACTACATTACAACGATTGTACTCAGAAAATACTGTTATAAGACTAGGATTATTTAATATATGTCCTGATAATGCCTTTGTTAATTTTCTTTTGCATGCAGGATCCAGTAATGCTCAGTTTATTGGATTCGTTATTTTATGTTTTCAACCTTTTATTTTTTTTCAACTAGATTATTTTTTGTTTTTAATTTCATGATACTGAATTTTTTCCTACCTCCATACGATTTGAACTTAAAGCCTCACAGTTGCTAGGTGAGCACTCTACTAGTTCTGGCATATTCCCATCTGGGTAGTTTTGTTTTTTAAGTTTATCTTTTAGGTAAGGTGTTTTTCTTTGCCCAGGCTGTGCCTCAAACCATGAGCCTCCTACTTTCACCTCTTGAGTGTCTGGGACCACAGATATATGCTACCCTTCTTCTTTTTTTGTTTTTTGTTTTTTTTTTCTGTCGTAGGGCTTGAAATCTGGGTCTGGGCGCTGTCCCTAAGCTCTTCAGCTCAAGACACACTCTACCACTTGAGCCAAGGCACCATTTCCAGTTTTCTGATGGCTAATTGGAGATAAGAGTCTCATAGACTTTCCTGCCGGGTCTGGCCTTGAACCTTGATCCTCAGATCTCAGCCTCCTGAGTAGCTAGGATTACAGGTGTGAGCCACCAGCCCTGACACGTCTTTTTTTTTTTTTAACCTTTAAGTTATTGTACAAAAGGGTTTCAACTCAACATGTCAGTTTTTGGGTACAGTGCATCTTGCTTGATCACTGTCATCTCTTTCATCACTCTCCCCCATCTTTTCCAACCCTTCTTAGTCCCTCATTCCCCTAGTCCCATTCACATATATACTTTGAATATTATGATTACATTTTCCCACCCTTCCTTTTTTCATTCATTTATGCCTCTCCCCTTGACATCCTCTCTCACTGACACCTGGTGTTCCAGCATCCTGGTATTTATTTTGTTAGACTATAAGTTGTTCAGAGGAATTATACCACTGGAATTCTCCCTTGAATATGCCATACTTTAGTTAATGCATTTGTCTATATATGCATATGACCCTGGATATGTTTACATAGATATTTGTAAATAAGATAAAACACCATCATTCTTGGCTTTTTTTTAGGTGGGCTTTTGAGTTGGCCGTTAAGCTGATTAGCTAGGAATACAGATGTGAGCCACCATATTGTAGCAATGTTGACACTTGAAAAAAAATAAGATTAGCTTTTTAAAAAATATCATTCATTTGGATTTAGCTGATTGTTTCAACTTTAATATTCTTGGTAGGAAAACAGCACTTATGGTACTTTACATCATTTTGTTTTTGTAAAATGTTTTCCCCAAGTCTTTAGATATTATTTAAAACAATTTCTAAGTTTATTATGCATTATAATTTTAACCATTCCCTAATTGCATATTCGTGTAATTGTTAAATTTTGATGTCACATAAAACACTTTCAATAGAAAATTTGTAGGTGCCTCTCCATAGTAATTTCTGTAGTTGAAATTCTATAGTTTCTAGATGTGCAGTTACAGAATGAAAGGAAGAAGCATTCTGGACCCCAAATACATGATGTAAAATTGGCCTGCAGATTGTTTTGTCTGCTTCTAGATTTTATTTGCCATAGTAGAATGAAGATTAAAAAGGTCACCTTAAAATATAATTTCTAAATTACAGGATAGCAACTTGTACAAAGTAACATAAATTTTCTGTAGCATTTTAAATTTTTTACTGCTTCTGGTATAACAATTCTGAGTCTTTTTTTTTTAATATTGCAGTGAGGAAATGATTCAGTTTATTGCTCATAAGATCCAGATATTTTAAAGGTTTATTCATCTATTTATATGTGTTCAGTTGCAGGTTTTCTCTTAGTTTCCTGCATAAGAGTGTACCAAATGTCACTTCTTTGCACCGACCTAAATTATTTCATACCACATTGTCAACAAGAGGACTAGAAGAATTTTTTGATGATCCAAAGAATTGGGGGGAACAAAAAGTGAAATCTGGTAAGATATTTAATTTAGGTCTGGGAATGTGGCTTAGCAATAGAGTGCTTGCCTAGCATGCATGAAGCCCTGGGTTTAATTCCTCTGCACCAAATAAACAGAAAAAGCTAGAAGTGGTGCTGTGGCTCAAATGGTAGAGTGCTCCTTGAGCAAAAAGAAGCATTAGGGACAGTGCTCAGGCCCTGAGTTCAAGCTCCAGGACTGGGGAAAAAAAAAAAAGTTTAAATATTCAATAAATTTGCTGAATCATTTGTCATTGTACAAGTATTTCTCCAATTTAGGAATTAGTTAGGTATCTCCTTTCATCTTTTTTATATTTTTCCTTTTTTTTTGAGACTAGGAAAAAAATTCACTCCTAGAGTGAATTGTTCCTTGGAGGTTGGCAGAATTGTTCCTAGAAGAGAAGTAGATAAAAACTATTAATTGGGGTGATTTTTAGGGTTTATTTTAAATCCCATTTTTAAGTGAAAATTGAAAGTTTATATTACAGATATTTTTGTATTAGTGTGTGAAAATGCAACCACTAACGTTAACAACCTTTGAAGGCTGTTGACAGAATACTGTTATTTAAGCTCTTAATTTTATATTACATAATATAATAATGCTATTCTATGTTTTACAGGTTTAGAGGTTAACAGATTTATTGTGACCAAAAGAAAATAGCTAAACACATTTTGCATTTTAAAAAATATATTTATTTATATTTATTAAATAGTTATACAAATGGGTTTTAATTTCAGAAGTTAGGTTATAAGTATGATGCATCTTAATCAATGTCACCCCTTCCTTTGTTCTTCATTTTTCCCCATCCTGTCCCTACCTTCAAGTTACATGGTTAAGTTTTTACATAGTATACACTGAAAATAAGAACTCTTTTTGCTCACCCTTCCTCACTCCATTTGTATAGACCCTCCACTCCCTTCTTATCGCCCTCCCACAACATGTTTCAGCTTCCTGGTATTTTGTTAAATGGTTGATTAGTTGCTCGAAGGAGTTACACTGTTGGACTCTTCCCTTTAGTCAGTTTGTGTGTATATGCATATACCCTGTATATGTTATCATGTGTATTTGTATTTTAGATCTAACATCCACATATGAGAAGAAAAAAATGTGTGATTTGTCTTTCTATGTTAGACTTACTTAACATAATTTTTCTAAGTCCATTTATTTCATGTTTTGATTTATAATTTTAATAGGAGCTGCATGGACCTGTCAACAGTTAAGGAACAAAAGTAATGAAGATTTACATAAACTTTGGTAGGTGCACTAAGTACAGTGTTACCTGGGTGTTAGAAATAGTCACAGTTTGATAGTCAGGTGACAACTATATATCTGTTTGAAACAGTTACAATGTGATAGGTAACAGCTATGCATCTGTTAGAAGCAGTTATAGTGTGATAGGTGACAACTGTATACCTGTTTGAAACAGTTATAGTGTGATAGTCAGGTAACAACTGTGCACCTGTTTGCTGTAAGAAACTGAGCAAAATGATTTGTTTCATAGTACTGTGGATTATACATATGATGTATTAGATCATGAGATTATAAATATGAGATTTATAAATATGAAAAATGTTAGATTAAGCTATGATATATTATCATGGTTTTGAAGTAAATGGGAGTTTAGAAATTTTACTATAATTGTTACCAGTCACATATTTGTCCTAGCAATTTCAGTAAATTAACAATAAAATCAAGTTGAGGAATACTTGGTCACATTCACACTTTTCTCCTTTATATTTCCTTTTCCTTGGTCTGGATTCTTCTGCAGATTAGCTTATATTAGTTATTCATTGGAGGGTTATTTTGTTGGAATTTTCT